AAAAGCATTCAGTCTTTCACCAATAAGTGTGATGCTAGCTGTAATTTTTTTGTAGGTGCCCTTTGTTAGGTTCCTTGTTTTCTGAGAGATTTTTGTTTTGTTTTAGTTCGAAATGGATGTGTAATTTTCTGTGTCTATTGAAATGATCACATGGTTTTTCCTTCTTAGTTTGTTAATATGGCAGCTTATGTTGATGAATTTTCAAATGATAAAACAACCTGCATTGCTGGGATAAATCCCACATGGTCATGATGTATTATCTTTCTTTTTTACATTCTTGGATTTGATGTGCTAAAATTTTGCTTAGGATTTTTGCTCCTATGTTCATGATGGATTTTGATCTGTAGCATTTTTTTTTCTTTCTTCTTTTAATGCTTTTGTCTATTTTGCTGTCAGGATCATTCTGATTTCCCCAAATGAATTGTGAAATATGTTTTCCTTTTCAGTTTTCTAAAATTTATTCTACAAGCAAATAAATTGGGTGTGGGGGGAGACAACAGTCACAATAATTCCTTGAGCTTGTTAAGATAAATAAGCAGATATGATATTGATGGGGGTGGGAGCATGGAGAGGGAAGGGGAAGGGAGGAATTGGTAAAGGGCCATGAAAATCAACTACATTGTATATTGATAAATTAAAAAATAAATAAAAATAAAAGAGAAAAACAAAACAAAACAAACAACCAGTTTGGTTAAAATTCATACTATTTCTTCCTTAATTATTTGGCAGAATTCACCAGTGAAACCATCTGGGCATGGACCTTTTCTTGTAAGGAGGTTTTTAACTACTAACTTAATTTCTATTAGATATAGGCCTATTCAGGTTATATATTTCTTCTTGAGTGATGTTTGGTAGCTTGTGTGTTTTAAGGAATTTGTCCATGTCATATTAATTTCCAAATTTACTGGCAAAATTTGTTGATGATATTCTATTATTATTATTTTAATATCTGTTGAATTTATAGTGATATCAAGTATTGCATCATCTCTCTTTTCTTCTTGATCAGTCTGGGTAGATGACTTAAGAAATTTATTTATCTTCTCAAAGAATCAGCTTTTGGTTTTATCTATTTTCTCTGTTGTTTTATATTTCATTGGTTTTTACTCTCAACTTTATTATTTCCTTGTTTGGTTTACTTTGAGTTTAGTTTGCTGCCTTTTTTTTTTTTTTTTAAGGTAGTAGCTTAGGTTATTGATTTGACACCTTTCTTGTAATATAGGCATTCTCTTTACTGCTTTGTGGTATCCCATAGCTTATTTTAAATGCATTTTCATTTAGTTCAAATTACTT